GTTTGCTGGCTTTCTTTAGTAATAAAGTTGGATTCCTTTCTCTTTATTTTGCGTATCTATTACTGTTTTTGTTGTGTGGTTACCATAAGTTTTGTATATAACATCTTATGCATATGGCAGTGAGTATTAAGTTGATGGTCACAAGTTTGAACCCATTCTAAAAGCACTAAATTTTTACTCCTCTCTCCCCAACATTTTATTTTTTTTTAAGATTTTATTTATTTGAGAGAGAATGAGAGAGAGAGCATGAGAGGGGGGAGGGCCAGAGGGAGAAGCAGACTCCCTGCTGAGCAGGGAGCCCGATGCGGGACTCGATCCTGGGACTCCAGGATCATGACCTGAGCCAAAGGCAGTCACTTAACCAACTGAGCCACCCAGCGCCCTCCCCCACATTTTAGGTGTCATATTTTACATCCTTTTATTCTGTGAATCCCTTGACTGATTTTTATAGATATACTTAATTTTACTGCTTTTGTGCTTCCTACTTTTCTAACTCCTTGCTTATGGTCTTTCCTTTCCACTCAAAGAGCCCCCTTCAGCATTTCTTATAGAGTGGGTTTAGTGGTCATGAATTCCTTTGACTTTTGTCTGGGAAACTCTTTATCTCTCCTATTCTGAATGATAGCCTTGCTGGTTAGAAGTTTTTTCTTTTGGCACTTTGAATATATCATGCCGCTTTCTTCTGGTCTGCAAAATTTCTGCTGAAAAATCAGCAGATACCCTTATGCGGCTGCCTTTGGATATAACTGTTTTCTTTTCTCTTGCTGCTTTAAAAATTCTCTCCCTATCACTACTTTTTGCCATTTTAATTACAATGTGTTTTGGTGTGGACCTCCTTGGGGGCTCTCTACGCCTCCTGGATCTGGACTTCCATTTCCTTCCCAAAATTAGGTAAGTTTTAAGCTATTATTTCTTCAAATAAATTTTCTGCCCCCCTTTTCTCTCTCTTCTCCTTCTAGGGTCCCTGTAATGCAGTGTTATTATACTGAATGGTGTCACTGAGTTCCCTTAATCTAGTCTCATTTTTTGTTAATCTTTTTTCTTTCTCCTGTTCAGCTTGATTTCTTTCCATTACTCTGTCCCCCCATCACTGATCCATTCTTCTACTTCCTTTAGACTGTTTATTCCCTCTAGTATATTTTTAATTTGTTATTGGGTTCTTCATCTCTGATTGGTTCTTTTTTATGTTTTCTATCTCTTTGTTGAGGGTCTCACTGAGGTCCTGTTCTCTTTTCTCAAGTCCAGTAAGTACCTTTATGACCTTTACTTTAAATTATTTATCAGGCATATTATCTCCGTTACTTATCTCCAAGAATTTAGCTGTCTTGCTGTGATTTTGTCCTGTTCTTTCATTTGGGACATATCCCTCTGTTTCCTCATTTTGTCTAATCCCCTGTGTCTGTTTCTGTGTGTTAGGAAAGTTAGCTATGTCTCTTGCTCTTGAAAGTAGTGGCCTTATAAAGAAGAGGTCCTATAGTGCCCTGCAGTGCAATGTCCCTCTATCAGAACCTGGCACTTAAGGGGTATCACCTATGGGTATAGTGTGCACCTTACTGTTGTGGCTGAGCTGCTTTTGCCTTCAGTCCAGTTGTCTTCTATGGCTCTCTTTACCTGTTGCGGGCAGGGTTTGGTTCCCTGTGTCGTTAGTGAGCCAGTCTGGGGCAGCCCTGGGCTTGAGTTGGGTTAGGTCAGGTATTTTCCAGAACTGCAGAAGCACCGCACTGCAGGGCACTCTCCCTGTGTTGTCCCATGAGAAGTTTTTGTTGGTGAGTGGGGCCTGTAGTCAGACCAGATATCTGCCCCCAGCCCACTCCTGGGGCCATAAGATTGCTTGTGTGGTTTTATTCCCCTTTCCCCAGGGCAGGAGTCCCTCTGAGGTGGTGCTGACCCCTGTCAGGGCTGCTTGTATACTGCTATGCTTGTGGCATTTCTTTGGATGGAATCACCAAGGCCAGATTGGGGGGTGGGTCCACAGGAGAGTGTGAGGGCAGGGCATGTTGCTAGCAAGGTAGGTGGAGAGTGTTCTTGCTGCAGTGGTTCACACAGGTGTACCTGTATCTAGGCTGGGGAGTGGGAGAGGGAAATGGTGCCTGCCAGTTCTTTTGTTCTTGAAGAAGTCTCCCAAAGATGTCTGCCCCTCCAGCACATGCTCTCAGATTAGTAAACAAATCTCCCTCCCTCCTGTATACCGCAGGTGTTTTTCAAACTGCTGCTTCTCTGCTGTATCTTGGTGGGGCTGTTTGTTATGCTACCTCTTTAAGGGCAGGGACTCAGTTTCCTATCACTCTCTGGCTCACTGATTTTAAAGTTCCAGGTGTTAAGCCCCACTGATTGTAAGAACTCACGATGTTAAGTCCCTCTGGTTTTCAAAGCCAAATGATAAGGGAATTCATCTTTCTAGTGCAGGTCCTCTGTGCCTGAGGTGCCTGGTGTGGGGTCTGCTCCTCTCCCCTCTGCACCCACAGCAGTCCTTCTTTAGGTCCTGCAGGTGTTTGGCTCCCAACTACATCTCTGCTGTTTCTACCCTCTTCAATGTGGCCTCTTTTCTACATTTAGCTGTGAAAGGTCTTTTCTGCCAATCTATAGGTCATTTTCTGGGTTATTTACACTCATGTGGGTGTTATCTAGGTATATCCATGGGATGAGGTGAGCCTAGGATTCTCTTCCTCTGCCATCTTCCCTGGAAGTTCCCAGAATTCTTGATTTTTCCCTCAAAACTATGTTCTCAGTCTTTCCTAGCTCAGTAAATGGCATAACCATTCACCATGTTGCTCAAGCCATGAATCCAGAGGTCATCCTTACTTCCTGTCTTCCTCTAACCACTATGTACTACACATGAGCAGATTCCATCTACTCAACCCCTAAAACATGTCTCAGATCCACCCATTCCTCTCTATTTCCTCACTCTTCTCGTCCAGGCTACCACCACTACTCCAGAACTATTGCAGTACATGTCCTAATAGTCTTTCTTCTTCCTTATGCAACCAAAGTGATCCTAAAACACGTATCAGATCATGGCACCACTGCCCCAAGTACCTAAACCTAATTTCCCACAATGCTTCGCTCTGATGCTCAGGCCTTCCTATTCCTGCAACAGACCAAACTCACTCCTACCTGAGGCCTTTGTGTCACCTGTTCCTTCCACCTATCATGGTATCCCCCATATTTCTGCACAGCTGACTCCCACTTGTCATTCAACTCTCAGCTACCTGAAGAGGTTTTTCCTGGGCCATCCATTCTGAGATAAATACCTAGTCACACTCAAGTGTATACCCAGTTTAATTCTGTATAGCATTTATTGATGGAGATTTATTTTTTATCTATCTCCTCCCCCCAAAAAAAAACTGTAAGTTAAATGTACAGGAATTTTCAGAATATTTTTGGATTACCTCTTAGACTATTATATTCTTTCTCATATGGACTGGATAAATCTGTTCATGGCAGGTGCCCCCGTCTGACTTTACTCTGGTCTCCATAAACTTCCAGAAGAGCACAACTAGGTTGGGTGCCATGAGGGCTCGTAAAGTATTCATTGAAAAGCCTTCACTGAGAAATATGAAAATATATAGTGAATAATACTGATGTCCTTTAACTGCCTCAACATCCCATTCCTCTCAGCTGGTGTCCGTGTTCCATTTCCCTCAGGTCCAGTTGTTTATTGTTGAGAAATATTCCATGATCCTAAGAATATGTGAAGTCCTTCCCACAGCCTCGTGGAGATACAATCCATTCATGTTGGAAGGTAGCCATAGGGCATGGATCCCACAGCCTTTCAGCAGGCTCCAAAGCTCACAGCACAAGAGAAATAAGAGAGACCTTCCCAGGCTTCCTTGCCCCAGCATTCCTGAGCAGAGCAGGTGGCCAGGGCCAGGGCAGATGTGGAAACACTAAAAGATGAGGCAGCAGTGTGGTGAAAAACTCCCTCCAACGCCCCTCCTGAGAGCTCACAGCTCAAGCATTACCCCGGAATGGCCTGTTTGACTTTGTATGCACAGGGGCTAAAATGTGGTTTTAACCATTTTATAGCTCAGCTCAGTCTGGTTCAAGGCTCAGCTTGACCTGGCCCTGCTCACCTTTTCACCCTCCCATCTCCACTCTGTGAACTAACTAACTGCAAGTTCTCAACCTGCCACTTCTCTTTACCACAGGAGCTTTGCACATGCTGTTCCCTCTCTCCCTGCCCCCTCACCAGGCAAACTCTAGCTCGTCCTCCAGCTGTTTAGACATTACCTCATTCTCTTATAATATCTATTCAGTAAGTATTTATTGTGTACCTACTATTATTTACTGGGTTGCCAGGAGCTTTTCTAAGTTTGGGGGAAACAGTGATGAAGAGAACAAAATCCTACACTGCAGTAGAGGATGAAGGAATAAATATGATGTGGCATAAGGATTATAAAGAATAGAGCTGAAGAGGAGAGCAGAAAAGTTAGAATGCTATTTTGTATTGGGTGAATAGGTGAGGAGATGATGTAGGCATGCAGGTGTCTGGGGAAAGGCATTCCTGCAAATGATGTAAGCAGAGGCCCTGGGTGTGGTCTTGGCATGTGGGTAGAAGCAAAGTCAGTGTGGCTAGACTTCACCTTGAGGAATTCAGGTTTATTCCGTAATGGAAACTACTGTAGGCTTGAGAGCTGGAGAGTGACATAACCTGGTTCACCTCTTCTAGGAAGTCCCCTGGCTCCCTAACTGCAGAGCAGCCTCCCTCCATCCATCCCCCTTCTCAGTATCAAAGTGCTTCTGTGTTTGCTCCCCATCTGTGTGCCTTCAAGAGCAAGGGCCAGGACTCATTCACCGCCCACCCTTTGAATGCCTTGCATATAGTCCTTATGTAATAAACACGTATGAAAAGGACAAACACAATTCTCACATACCTGTTGGTCTGTGACAGGACTGCAGTCCTGTAAGGGCCTAGTGTTGGTTTCCAAGAAGTGTTAGGAAGCATGTTTGCACCCCGGTACAGGTATCGTATAACAGGCATCAGCCTTTCTGTTTTAAAGCAGATCGACCCATCTGAGCAAAAGACTCTGGCCAATCTGCCGTGGATTGTGGAGCCGGGACAAGAAGCCAAGAGAGGAATTAATACCAAGTATGAAACCACAATTTTCTGATACTCACCATCCTCCTGTCCTCGCGGTGCCTTGCACGCTGAGCAGTCCCGGAGCAGGCTTCCCTTCGCGCCTCAGTTTCCACCCAGCCCAGGAGGAAGACTGCTCTGTTTGTGTGGCCTTGTCACAGGCGAAAGGCCGCTGGCCATTCCTGGGGACGTTCTTTCTGCACCAGTGACAGAAAGTATGCAACCAAGACTTTCCAGCCGTAACCCCTGAGAGGCATGAGTTGAGATTTTTCGCTGACTCTCCTGACTCCCCTCCCTGCCACCACCCAAGGTATTTCTAATGACTCTGCCCCCAACACTGCTTTGCTGAATTTGGGGATAATACCTTAAAAAAAAAAAAAAAAGGTAGGGGATCTCTAATACTGTCTAAAAGTATAAAAATCTTGGATTTTTCACAGCAGTTTTAAAGGTAGAATCAGAACAGAACTACCCCCATAAAATACCTGTAAAATCATATCACTGAGCATCATTTCATGCATAAGGACAAAACCACCCCCATGATTGCCAGGAAATCCTGTTTCCCAATTTCTATATTTGTGGATTTTATATGTAATCAGCCATGTCAGATAAAGAAAACATTTACATCTATGGATTGATTAGAAATTTAAGAATGATTCAAAACAGAGGAATTTATTATGCACAGAAAAATGTGTCTTGTATTAAATATTTTTATTAAAAGAATGTTTCATTACTGCACTGATAAGAAAACTAGGTTAGTTGTGAGGGATGTTTCTGGATTCATTTCAAGTAACTAAATTTTTACTGCTACCACTAAGAGGACTGGCTTGGGTGTGGCAAAGTGCTGATGACACTCCCCAGAGCAGGAGATTAGGGCAAGCAGACTGGCATCCAACCGAAAGTGCTGACGCAGCCATAAGCTGCAAAGATTGTTTTTTTTTTTAACCTTCACAGTGTTTTAAAGAAAACGTTAAAAAAAAAAAAAAACTAGGGCTCCTGCTGTCAAGATTTCTGTCATGGAAACCTTGTTTGAGAAAGGTGTTAGTAAAATTCTATTGCAAAAATTTTTTTCTAGAAAAAAAATACAAAAAAAAAAAAAAAAGAGAGAGATTCCAAAGTAATAAAACTCTTTTCTTGAAACAAATAAATGTTTGCTTACTATTTGATTAAATAAAATTTACTTACATTTCTTTAAGGTATTTTAATTTTTTTAATGTCTCTGTGGAGTATTTGTATGATTCCATAATGTATATTTATGTAGAATCAAATTATATAAACAGTACCGATATCATTATAGAAAAAATAACATTTTAACGTATATTGTTCTAACTGATCATATTGTGAATCATTTTGAAGTTCATTATAGCGCTACTGATAAATTGTGGGATTGTCTTAATGTTTTTTTTTTATTAACCAATATTATTTCAAACCTGAGGATTATTAGTTATTCATCAGTTGGTGAGTTTTAAAGAAAGATAATTAAATTTTATTTCAAACTGACAAATGTATATGGATTTAGTTCAATGTTGAAGAATTTTAATACAATATTAAATTACTTGACCTGAACAGTTCCTTGTATATATTTTGCCTATTCACTGTTGATATGTATGTAGTAAATGGAGAGTAAAATAACACTGAAATATGGTACCAAAAGGTAATTGTATAGGAGCAAAGTAAATAGTAGCTTTGCTGAAACAGAAACATATGTGTAAATATGCTTGGGCTTCCAGTTATAAATTTTGTAATTTTTGTCATTATTTATATCCTATTAAAAAAAGCACACAAAATAAAATGGAAATTGTACAGCCACCGGTGCTTGGCATCGTTCTGTGAGCACCTTCCCACTTCCATTTAGGAAAAAAACCAAAGGCCCAGCCTCCTCAACATCTATAGCCAAAGGGCTTTTTTAATTGGCAAATTGAGAAAATTTACTCATTTCTAAGTTCAACCAGTCTGAGAAAGATACATTGGCCTTTAAAAAGCTTAAATTTCAGACAAAAAATCTCCAATGTCTTTAAATATTACAGTAGGCTACAAGGAGAAATTGCCAAACAAATTTCTAAAAAAGCAAGGACCACCCAAATAGATGATTTGTCTGGGACAATACAAATAGCTTGTTTGGAAAAACATCTACACGTTTATGTCAGGTTGGGCTGCTAAACGAAATATCAGACTGTGTGGCTTAAAAACAAATGTATTTCTCACAGTTCTGAGGGCTGGAAAGTCCAAGATCAAGATGCTGGCAGATCAAAGTTTCTCTCTCAGAGCTCTTCTCTTGGTTTGTAGGCATCTACCATCTTGCCGTGTGGTCATATGACCTGTGTGTGTGTGTGTGTGTGTGTGTTTGCAGGTGCACAAGCATGCATGCACAGAGAGTGGAGGAGCAGCAAACTCTCTGGTGTCTCTTCTTATAAGGGCACTAATCCCGTTCTGAGGGCTCCACCATCATGACCCCCTCTAACCTAATTAACTCCCAAAGGCCTATCTCGAAATACCATCACATTGGAGGATTAAGCTTCAACACATGAATTTTGGTAGGGGTTAAAACATTACATAACAACATCAATCCTTCCATTTTTCTAAAATACATGTGCCAGCTACAAGTCAAGTGATACAGGGCCATGTTAGAGATACTGGAAAGATCAACGTTTCACATTCCATATGCTGTGACTTTCAGGAGATGACCCCTGCACTGCTGGATCTAAGTCTGTTACTCTTTGAAACACACACCAAAACAAACGGGATGCTACCAGCCTGACATGCACACATAGCTTTGAAAACATAAAACCAACCCGAGAGGGGACCACATTCTCAGAGGCAGAAAGGGCAGGCTTCCTGAAGAAAGGTTTGGGCTGGGATTTTAGATGGTAATGCTTCAACTGGGCTAATTTGGCCCCTTTCTATCTTTGGTAACCACCAAGAGGTCAGCAGTCCTCTTCTCTCTGTGGATCAAATGCTTATTTGTATCAGTTATGGTCCCAGCATGAAGCAGATGGCACATTCCAATTGGGATATTTTAAGAGTTTAATAAATAGAATACTTACATAGGTGTTGGCAGCATGTAGGGAAACAGACGGGTGGAACAGTGTCCCTGGGATGGTAATTGCCTGAGGAAGAATGGGAAAGGAGAAGGCTGTGTGGAGGGGGCTGCCAGACAGGCTGAAGGGACATGGCCAGCTGTAGTGGCCCTCAGGGAGGGAGCCAGGGATTAAAATACCCTGATCTCACTCTCCACCCCACATTACCTGAACCCACTGGAAGCCAGAGGACAAGGAGCCTATTGATATGGTCTACACAGGGCAGGGAAGAGGGAGGAGAGGTCTGAGGGGCAAATAGAAGAGAGCCAGCCCACATAATGAAGAAGGGATATGCAGCTGATTTCTTGAAGGGGAAGTCTGACACATTAGTAACTGCAGTATCCATGGGGGATGGGGGATCCTTGAATGCTAATATTATTCCAAAAAAGAACTTTAATTACTCTATTTTTTTCTTACATTATATTCTATGATAAGTTTGGGTGAATGAACCCTGTGAAAATTATGCCTAGTTAATTCATTAGTAAGTCATGGCAGTGGTTTTTCTCAGGACATACCAGATTTTCTGTTAGAATAGTTAGGAATATTATTGGGGTATATAATATTTGGATATAATGGGCCAGAAAACGGGCTTAGATAATGAACACATGGACAAATTTAAAAAATAAAAATTCAGACTTGGACCCCAAGTAACATTGCTCCTAAGCTACTTCTGAAAAGAAAGGAAAATGTGATAAGTGGGCTAGCCTCCAGAGTTCATTCTTCTCCCACAGAACTGGAATATAATGACCATGTTCAGAAGTCCATATGGAATAAAGCCTTTTTTTAAGACATTAAGTTTTTCAGTTCTTTTTATATAAGGTATTCACTATGTTTCTTAGGAAAATCAAGCAATCTGACAGTAAAAACACATTTTCTTAAAATATAATTGAGGAACCAGCCAACACAGGCCAGCACAGTCTACCTGCACCGAGGCTGCATCAACCTGCCCCCTACTCCATTCCTGTCCCTCCTACACCTAGCCCACCCCACGCCCATTTACTGCTGTCTGTGCAAATGTACAAATGAACCCAGGCATCTGGTGCCCCAGCAACAGAGTCCTGCTTCCCACAGAAACCAGCTCCAAAGCAGGCAGAGAATTACCTTAGGCTCGTTGCCCAATCACCCATCCTGCATACTGTGAAATTCCATTAGTACCCATGAGCCAGGTCTTATTTTTGTGGGGGGAATTAACCCTAAGAACTTGGTACAGACCTAGGAATACCAATTCCACTTAACTGTTTCCTCTCTCCATCCCAGGCCAGTCTACTCACTGAGAACTTGCTCTGTGTCCATTGTGGCACCATTCTATTTAGAATTGCTGATGCAAAGATGATCACTCCTGACCCAACACACTGCACACTGTGTATAACTCATAAAGAATTATAGCTACAAATTATTTATCATCAAAATAGTTTTTGTTTTACTCTCCAAAACCCCAGAGACCTAGGTTTGTAAAAGCTGCACAGGCATTTAACTTTCCAAGAGTAGTTAATGACCAAGGACATAGACTTACATCAGACTGAAACAGAGACTCTGCACTGAACAGCTCCATTAGGGTCACCTCAACAGCTGAGGTTTTCTCAGGGGTTCAGACAGCTGAGGAGCATGCATGTCACAGAACAGACTTCACAAGCACAGCAGAGCTAATGTGCATCTTCCAAGTCCTTCCATTTAGGAAACATCTAAGTTATGTGTCAGAGGACAGTACGAGCAAGCTGAGATGGAGTTGTTCTTACTCACGACATGGTAATAAAAGCTGTTCAAAGCAATCCATATTCAATACTCAATTGTCCTCTGGATGTCTCAGTGCCTCAATCAAGCATCCCAACAACTGCTCCCTGAGGAGCCTGCAGCTCTCCCTCTTACTGCCTCTCCTAAGACATGTGAGAAGGGAAGTCAAGATGCCTCCAAGTAAGAAGCAACATCAGCTGTTTTCTGACATTTGAGAGGCTGATTTCTCTCCACTTATCAAAAGTGCAGGCTCAGTTTTCTGAGAGAAAAACAAAAACAAAAACAAAAACCCCAATGTGCTAAGTGTTGAGTCAAGGGAGACTGGGAAAGGCACAGGAAATTCAGGAATACCATTTGAGTAGGCCATTTCTGGGGTGTGTGTCTGGGTAGGGAGGTGGAAAGCTGCAAACTCATATGGCCTCAGAGCCACACAGGTGACATGAGTGAGGGGGGCTGTGATGATCCACAGAGGACCTGCCTCATCTCAGGGGGCACGTGCTTACTTTCAGCTGATTGTTGCCAGGCAGAAATGAAGACCCTGGGTCAACAGATTTTCTAAGAAATCAGTATTTATGCAAAATCACCAGATTTTCAAATGCTGGCAACAAATTCAGCATTTAAGTGTGGGCCAAATAAAACTCATCTGTGGGCTGGGCGTGATCCATGCATCACTTCTTTGTGACTTTCTGAGATTCCACCAAGCTTCAACAGCCTCACAGCTAGCTAGATGTCCAGTTACTTATCAAAGGAGGAACAGTGTGTCTGTGACTAGAGTGAGGGGGTGGAGGAAGCAGAGATGCAGAGTCACTGACATTTGTTGGACTGCTCTTAGATACCAGGTTGGTTTATTCAGTATCAGAAACTGAATTTAGGGACTAGTAGCAAAGACCAGAAATAACAGTCTTAAATAGGGAAGGGTTGAATTTTTTCTCATGTAACATGAACTTCAGAAATATTACAGGGCTGGAATGGGAGGTCCACAAGCTCCTTCTACATTCCTATTCTGTCATCCTCAGCATATGGCATCTGTAAGGTCACCTCATGATCAAAAAATGGCTGCTGGAGCATTATCCAGGGCATCCACATTCCAGACAATAAAAAGAATGATAATGACCTAAGGTCTCCTGCCTCCCAACTGAGTAAGGCACTCTTTTAGGAGCTTTCCCGGAAGCTTCAAGCCACAATTCTTTGCCACCCCTATATAGGCAGCTGGACAATGTAGCTGTTGATTTTAGCTGAGCACACTGCAGCCCCCCAAAAATTCAGGAGTTGTGAGGAAAAAGGAGTCTGCCATGATGGGAATAATCATGGCACTAGGTAAAAAGTGAAAGCAAGTACACACCAGTGAGACACCTGGATAGAGAAAGCCGTGACCAGAGGAGGAATTGATGGTAATAACCCTAAAAGCGTTGCTCTATATATTAGCCATCAAATCCAAGCAGGAAAGATCCCCACATCTATGTTAATACAACAGGCATACCAAACGTCTGTGCTGCCCAGCAACACTCCTGAGGCTGTCATGACGGAGCAGGTACGGTGGCACACTGTAGAAGCAGTCATCAAAGTGTAGCTGGCAGCTGGACAGAAGAACTGGCAATGGCCTGGCCATCAAGGGTGACAGAACAACCTCCACTGTACTCTGGAATCACCTGGGGAACTTTAAAATAATACAGATGCCCGGGTCCCGTCTCCAGAGATTCTGAATTAATTGGCCTGGGATGAGGTCTGGGTTTAGGGAGGTTTTTAAGTTTCCCAGAT